CGCGCCGCGCTCGAGGTACGCGTCGACGAAAGCGGCGTCCGGCGGCAACGGCCGCCCCGGCCGCTTCGACTCGAGGCCGCCGGCCTCGCTCCGGTGCGTCCCCGGCGCGAAGGCCGTGTTGCCCGTGGCCGCGGTCTGGTCGACGAGGGCCAGGAAGCAGCTGTGGTGGTGCGCGGGGAGCACGCCGACGTCGGCGGGGTCGAAGAGGTGGCCGGCGTCGCAGTGGATCCGCTGGTCCCGCGACCCGGGCAGCGACACGATCGTGTTCTCGACGAAGCACGTCGCGTCGTCGCCGAGGGACCGCCGCATGACCGCGCCCAACACCCCGTTGGCCACCGTCGCCGGCGACGAGAACGTCGACATGGCCACGCGCCGCGGCCCGCGCGGCGCGAGCTCCGCGAAGCGCGGCGCGACGCCGGAGTAGCGCCCGTCGTACATGGCCGCGCACGGCTCGTAGATCTTCGCGAGCGCCGCCCAGGACGCCGCCCAGGCCTCGTGGAGCTCGTCCGCGCGGGGAACGCTCACGACGTTCTCCAGCACGCAGACGCCCTCCCGCTCGAGCGTCGCCGCGCACCACGCCACCGTCGCCTCGCTGGGAGCCTCGCCGTCGCGCTCGCCGTCGCTCAGGCGCCGCGTGAACGCCGCCGCGCTCGTCGCCGCGGGCGGCAGCGACGCGGCGAACGCCGGGCCCAGCTCGACGACCATGCGAGGCTCGCGCGCGCGCGCTGCTTGGTGGCGCTCAAAGAGACGTCGACGACGATCAACGCAGTCAGTTTTGCAGGTTAGCGGCACCGCGCGCTACTCGGCCATGCCTCGTCGAGCCGAGCTCAAGCAGCCTTCAAGAAGCCTTCAACAAAGCGCCGAGCGCGCGAGCGACTGCTCGGCCAGGACCCGGGCTCGCAGCGGGCCCACTCAGGAGCTACCGCCTTGCGCCTACTCGCCCTGGTTCCCTCCGCGGGCCTACCTCCCCTCCCCGGACGGGCGCCGGTCGAGCGCGCGTCCCCTTCAATAACTTGGTCAACTACTAATAAAGCATCTATGCCGCGCCCTCCTGGCCGTCCCAGGGGTCGACGTCGAGGGCGTCGCGGTCCCGCTCGGCGGCGTTCGTGTGCTTCCAGAGGCCGCGCTCGCCCGCGGCGACGCGCTGGAGCACGCGCGTGATGTTGCCGCGGACGCGGCACGCGGACTTGACGAGGGGCATGCGCGAGAAGTCGGCGGCGAGGCGGTTGAGGCAGCGCTCGCGGCGCTTGTTCCAGGCCCGGCGGCTCACGGACGTGTGCATCTGGTGGCCGCGCGCGCCCATGATCTGGTCCGGCTTGAGGTCGCTGAAGACGACGGGCGGCAGGCCGCTCCGGTTGCTGTTGAAGTAGTGCAAGGTCAGGTCCTCGCAGGTCGGCTTGTGGGAGACGATGTAGGCGAGCGCCTGCCGCGGCGCGCCCGAGAGGAAGTCGCTGAGCGTGTCGCGGCCGACGACGGACGTCTGCCCGAGCAGGAAGCTGTACTGCTTCGACTTCGTCTTCTGCGGGTGGAAGACGTAGGCGTACTCACCCGTCTCCGCGTTGACCTGCCAGTCGCGCTCCGGGTACGTGCCGAGGACCTGCGCCGGCGCCGCCGCGTGCATCCAGCTAAAGGCCTCGAGCGTCTCGCGGTGGTGGAAGATGTCGTCGTCCTGGAGGAGCACGGCCTCCGTCGCGCAGCGCCGCCCGTGGCGGTAGCGGTTGAGCAGCGTGTTCTTCCGCTCGACGACGACCTCGAGCTCCGCCTCGGGACCCCGCCGGCCCTCGCGCTTCGGCGACGTCAGCGACGCGTAGTGGAAGCCCTCCTGCTGGCTCCGCCAGCCGCGGGCGCAGGTCGTGTTCGGCACGTTGTCGTGGGGCCCGTTCCAGAGCAGCAGCACCTTCCGGATCATCTCGCTCCTCGCGTAGGAGCAGACGAGCTTGTTCAATCGCCCGTTCTGCTCCGGCAGGTAGGCCATGACGACGACCGTGAGCCGGCCCGGCGCCTTGGCGTAGTCGACCATGGCGCGCCGCGACACGCGGCAGCTGCCGGGCGCGAAGAGCGCCGGGCCGAGGCCCGCGCGCGCCGCGTCGCCGGCGACGCCGACCTCGGCGGACCGGCACTCGCAGTAGTTGCGCAGCTCCTGCGCGACGGCGCGCCAGTAGC